GTTAAAATCTGTTGTCTGGAACTAATTCCCTCTATCACCAAAATTGTAAATTTATCCTTGCAGGAGGGTCGTGTCCCAGATCACTGGAAAATTGCTCTGCTGAAACCAAATCTGAAAAAGTCTAGCTTGAACCCAGTATTTGAGAACTTTAGGCCTGTGAGCAATCTGTCATTTCTTTCTAAGATCACTGAAAAGGCAGCCGCCAACCAATTGCTGAACCATTGTGAAAAACATGCACCTCTCCCTACCTGTCAATCTGGCTTCAGGAAATATCATTCGACAGAGACGGCTCTGCTAAAGGTGCAAAGCGATATTCTTCTGAGTATGGACAGGCAGGAAGTGTGTTTTCTTGTACTCTTGGACTTAAGCTCAGCGTTCGATACAATTGATCATAAAACTATCATTGACGTATTGGAGTATCAATTTGGAGTAACGGATAGGGCTCTTGAATGGATAAAATCATATCTATTGAACAGGAAACAGAGAGTTGATCTGGATAACAATTTTTCTGAAGACTGCGATGTTAAGTACGGAGTGCCTCAAGGGAGTTGTCTTGGCCCCATACTTTTTCTGCTTTATGTATCCCAACTATACGACATTATTGACAGGCACTTACCCTCTTCTCATGGATATGCTGATGACACGCAACTTTATGTATCCTTTCGCCCAGATTGTGAAGATAATTCAGAAAGTACCCTAGCCATACTGGAAGATTGTATTTCTGATGTTCGTACTTGGCTGTTGTCTCATAAATTAATGTTCAAAGATTCGAAAACGGAATTTCTTGTAATTGGTACACCACAACAACTTTTGAAAATAAACATTGAATCCGTTAACGTTGGTGGGGTCCAAATTAAGCCGGTTGACAGTGTTCGAAATTTGGGATCTTGGTTTGACAAGCATATGTCAATGTCAGTTCATGTAGGCAAGATGTGCAGTAAAGCATTCAGAGGACTTCATAAAATACAAATTAGAAAATTTTTATCTACTAATACAACGAAAACTTTGATACATGCTTTCGTGACATGACACGTGGACTATTGTAATGCTCTGTTGGCTGGCATACCTCAGTATTAAGTCCAGCGAATGCAGAGAGTTCTTAATGCCGCTGCTAGACTAATCTGCCACTGTCCAAGATTTTCTCACATCACCCCAGTTTTGAGATCACTTCACTGGCTACCGGTAAAATTCCGGGTGGAATTCAAAATTGCTTTACTGGTTTACAAGGCTCTTAATAACATTGCCCCTATCTATATCTCTGAAATGCTTATACCAAAACAATCAAGTGATCGCTGGACATTACGATCGGATGGTCAAGGTCTATTATATACATCCCGAAAACAAACTGTAAGACTCTAGGAGATCGGGCTTTCGCACATGCTGCTCCACAATTATGGAATTCTCTGGATGTCAGGAACTGTGAAAACATTTCTGTGTTTAAGAAACGCTTGAAAACATTTCTTTCAATAAGGCTTATAACCCTTTATAGGTTGAGACCATATTGGATTCTTCATTCTTATTATATATACATACATTAGTGTATATTCTAATTGTATACAATACCATGTTTTATATAGCATATTTAATTCTTAATATATTTAGATTTTTATAATGTACAGCGCTTCGAGTATATAATATAAAATATGCGCTTTATTTAAATGAATAAATTATTATTATTATTATATCCCTAATATTTCTTTTAATGAACGTATAGTCGAAAGAGTTACAAGTTATAAACCTTTAGGAACGTGGATAGATAACGATTTTAAATGGACCAGCAACACGAAATACATTATTAAGAATAGACGCAAAAAAACTATTATCTTAAAGTTCTAAAGAGTAAAGAAATACAGCGCACCAGCACATGATATGCTACAATGTTATTGCAGTGTGATTAGATCGTCATTGGAGTATTGGCGATGTATTGTGGCACGGTAGGCTAACCAATGCGCAAAGTGCGGACTTTGAAAGAATACAAAAAAGAGCACTGACTTAGGATATAATTTACCCCAAGATGGGCTATAATGAATCTCTGGCACACTTCCGGATGTCTACTTTAAAGGAAAGACGTGAAAAACATTGTGTGGAACTTATCAGGAAAATGTCGTTGGAGGGACATAGACTCCATGCATTATCTCCTTCCAGCAAAGGTTGGAGAACTAAGACAAAAAGATACAAGATCTAATGATGACAAATACTATAATTTTAAATATCGGACAGAACGTTTTAGTATAAGAGTCTATTAGTCTACGCTATAAATAGTTATAATAATAGTTTTTAAATACATATAGAAACTGTTCGATTGTTTCTAAAACATGTTTCCCGAATCCACCATTGCCAAACAACGAGGCATTCTTTTTGGAAAATCTATCCTGGCATGCATACTCCAAAAGTGAAAATCCCAGGAAACATTGTTTCTCAGCCATATTTCCTGAAAATGGGCAAACCATGTTTCACCAGCAGCAAAGGTGGACAAACATGGAACCACTGTTTTCTAGCCTTGTTCCCTGGCGTTGGTCTTAAACCGATTCTCAAATGGGCCGTATACCAGGCATTTACAATATAGTAATTGCTTCATCTATTCATTCCCCTTGGGGAAAGGCACACGCTTCCGCAATAAATCTTGTCAATTAAAATCTAATTTTAGCACGCCACCAAAACTGAACAAAGGTTGTTTGAGATTCTGCACCCTAGGCATCCACAGTTACTCACATCTATTCCAAACGTTCCTGTATTTAAGTTGGGTTCTTTGCAATTTAGCAAGGAGAGATAATTTATAACAGTCTATCTTTTCTCTTTACTTAGATTACCTGAAGATCTTTTAATACTTCTCCTTCGTTCTGTTTGGTTTTCAGTTTCTTAATTTGCTGTAATTTTATTTTAAAACGATGGTATTGAATACCTTGCCCTTGAAAAGGTCATGTGCATGGTACCAGCAAAATGTAAGTACGCAGATAGCAAGAGTTCCGCGTATCTACGTGGTACGTGGCTGAAAACAAAGAAGTACAAGACCGTAATATTGCGTACCTCCGGTACGTAAGTACGCGAATTATCGCACACGATAAGCATGATAGCTTTTCAAGCATTTTCACCAAGGTTGAAAAACTCACTTATCGGGTGGATAGCGCTATCCGGCTGTCGTACACCAGCCCCTCATCTCTAAAGGCTGTTTTCTATTACGGCCACCTTTCGGGCGCGGGTGTTCCGCGCGTACGTAGGCCCGCTCAGTCCAATCTCCAATGATTTTCCACTGGCGGAATGAATGCGCGGGAAAAACAAAAGCAATACGGCGCCCCTAAATCGGAGAAAACATTTTAAGTTGATTATTTTAAGCCGAATATTAAGGAGAGAAAAGTACAAAAAGAAAGATTCTGGATGCGAGAAATCTACAAAGGAAATCTGAATAATCTCCTTAGTTTATGCCAACCACGTGAGTTAGCGATCGGGCGAGTTCGCCTGGAAAGTTGAATACATTTCAACTTCCATCGTGTGTCCGCAAGCAAAAGAGCAGACGTAAACTCTTCTACCAGAAACCTACTGCTCATGCCCAAACGTGATCGCTTCGCCCGCACGGGCAAAGAGGCCGTAATGGGAAAACAGCCGTAATGGAAAACAGCCTTAAGAGCAAAGTTAAGAATAGCAAATTTTGGGTTTTTATACGCTGAACAAACAGCACCGCCAACACGAACAAGATTAAAGTATAAAGAACATCGATTTGTAAAAGATTTATTAGTTCATTGAATAGAATCTGTATATGCAAAGTGAAATTCATATTAAAGAGAATATTTTATGAAAAGTATACAGTACGCAACGAAATTGTCATTTCGAATCATGATTATAAAAAAGTTCTTAAATTGAAACCGTTCATACGTGCAATGTAATCGTATATACACATATACATCAAATAATTGCGTAGTGGATATATGAATAATATATTAAAATATAGAATTTGAAATATAGAAATATAAAATAAATTCTTTGAACTGTACACAAATTTTTAAGACGAAAATTTCTATACGAAAATTTGAAAAGGTCTTTCGCTACATTTCATGGTCATCGGGGTCATTTAACATGGCTTCGCTTTCGGCATTGTCATCTCGAATGTAAACGCTTGGAACATTGTTGTCGAATGTCTGCTGTGTTTCCACACTCGAGGCGGAGTTGTTGTTGACCTTTGTATAACCGTTGGTTGAACGAGACTTACAGAGGCCAAGTAATGCGAATATAGCAAGTAGCGATAAGCACGTTGCCATTGATATTAAGATGAAATGGTTTTCAAGTTTCGTGGGTGCGTTGCTTTCGTCGTTCTTGTGAGGAAGGGCCGAACGATCTGTGATGTTTGCGAATGTAGGACAATCTGAGTTACAAAGTTTGCATTTCTTCGTGTCTTCGTCCAGGATGTGATTTATTGAACACTGTTGTACGCAGTTAGTTCCCTCGAGGTATAGATCCATGCGACATGACGTGCAGGCGTCGGGTCCAGCCCGCGTGCAGGTTGCGCAAGATGGGTGACATCGCTCGCATTCTGGAATGCCATTAGAGTCCCGTTCATACATCCCCGGCGGACAGTTCTTCACACAAGTGAAATTGAAAAGTTTCCGATTATCATTACAGCTCAAGCAATCTTTACTAGTTGCTCCTTTGCACGTCTTGCATCCTCTGTCACACATATAACATTGCCCATTGTTCCTGTACTCGTCTTCACCGCACGAGGATAAACATTGAGATAAGGAATATGACAGTCCCTCCACACAGCTCGTACAAGCCTCTTTTCCTCCACCAGAACAGGTTTTACACAACGGATGACACGATTCGCATCGCGACGTCTCGGGGTTTCTGTACATTCCGTCACCGCAAGATTTCTTACAAACCGAACCCTGTAGACTGTCTTGGCTGTCTTTGCAAGATAGACATTGATCACGTGTTGCACCCATGCACCGGTCACAAGATTCGTGACACGGGACGCACGCGCGTTTCATGCGATCTAACACGTAACCCGGTGAACACGTTCTTACACACATATTGTTCTCAAGAACCAACGGTGATATGCATTCCTTACAGCTTAACAAACCATTGCCTATAGTAAATGAAAAGTATTAAAGATGAATACAGATGCAATTCGCAGAGATTTTTTGGATATAATGAGAAACTGATCCTGAGACTAGAGATGGGCAAAAGACGAAGAAGTGAGAGAGATAGAGTGAATGAACTGTATTGCTCTGTAGATGCAATCATCAGAGCAAGCGCCTTTCACCTCTGAGATCGTGGGTTCGATTCTCGCTACGGACTCATACATGACATTTATGTGAAAAGAGTCAACGCTCTGCCGAAAGTCGTGGGTTTTCTACGGGTACTCCGGTTTCCTCCCACAGGGAATGTTGACAGGGTGGGTTAGGATTATCCCCCTAGCTCGATCAGGTTGAGCTGCCTCGTAATTCAGCTTAGCTCTCAGCTGCAAGTAAGGATGATCAGCACATCCCACTTACTTACTTACTTACTTACTTACTTAGATGTGAGGTCAATAAGACCTTGGGGGACAAGGGCGATCCTGTTGCAGTGGTCTCATGTGAAAGCAAGGTATATGTAGTCTGCGATAGCAGACCGCCTTTTGACCACCAGGGGGCGTAAGACTAGGTATATGGCCATTTACTTTGACAAGCGCGTGTGTATGGGTGCCGTGGAAAAAATGAACATGCCCCCCCCCCCCTCCACAAGGAAAATCGGACCACTGACAGAGATGCATTAAACGGAACGCTACCTCCAACCGGAATTTTGAAGCCAAATTAGAAGACCAGTCCCAGTCTTTTCACGCATGCGAAGAGCGCTCAATCAGTCAATCATGATATAAACACGCGTATCTTGAGTCTTAACCTTCAGTTTATCTGAAGGCAGTGTTCCAGTTATATTCAATTCAATGCAGAGATTCCATAAAAGCCCTACCAATATAAAAGAAACTCACCCCCGCTACATCTGTGGCAGTAGTAATCACAAGGCTGACAACTCTGTGCTTCAGTATTGTGATAATATCGCGTGGGACATCTTGTGCGACACTGAGCTTGAAACAGCACCAATTCCGGCTTACATGACGTACAACGACTTCGGCCAGCTCCAACACATGTCAAGCAGGAGTCATCACACGGTAAACAGCGATTGAAATCCTTTGATAAAAACATCCCCGACGGACACTTGGTAACACATTGATTTTTAAACAGGATCTGGGATGGATTACACTTTGTACAAGATGTAGGCAAACCAGCGCACGATTTACAAGCCTTATCACACGGCGTACAAGCCTTGCTTACATTACTTGCGTAACGACCTTCTGGACAATGCGGGATACACTGCTTTTCAAATAAAAACAACCCAGGGACACACCTCAAACAGGTAGCTGGGTTTATACATTCCGAACACTCCGATGGGCATCTTTCACACAGGGTAGTGGTGAGGTCCTCGTAGTATCCACGTAGATTGGGGCAGTTGAGTGAGCACAATTTATTGATCGGGTCTCGGAATCTCACTCCCTTGCAACGAAGACAGTCGTATTTAGTTGGTCCTAAGCATGACGAGCATGACGTGTGGCATTCTGAACAATGGTCATTTGTTTTGTTCCCCGTTGTTTGAGAAGCTAATGTACTGTTGTGGAAAGTTCCATCTTCGCATACTGACTTGCATAGTCCGTCGACTTTACTAAAACCATCTGTAAAGAGACAACAAACAATGTAAGCCAACTTCTGCTGAAAAGTTGGTATGGATGGTAAGGTATTATAATGTGTGGTATGGTACGATATGGCTTAGTACTGGTATGGTATGGCTTGGTATACATTTGATGGTATGGTATGGTATATGATCACATTCGGTTTTGTTCGCGCTGCAAGGGTAAAGACCAACCTAAAATGATCATGTTTTGTGATTGGCTTTCAGAAACAAAAAATATCATTGTTCGTGACTCGTTCTTTGGAAAGACGATTTCTATAGTTTTATTGTCTTTCATTGTTATAATCAACCAACCACGAGCCTGGATAGTATAGGTAGACGATGACCCTGCCGCAACGCGTTGTTTATACAATAAAATATAATAAAAAATTGCGGTTGCCAAAGAGTATTTTAATAAAACACAAAACAACAGACACTCCGAAAATTGTAAACATTTTCAATCTTTACGTTTCGACTGTTAATTTAAGTCATCTTCAGAAGAATGCCAAGAAGAATGCTAAGAATGGCATTTCTCTAAAGATGATTTAAAATTAAATTAATAGTCGAAACGTAAAGAATGAAAATGTTTCGGAGTGTCTATTATTGTTTTGTGTTTTAATAAAACATTATAAGTTGTGGCAAGTGCCTCGGTACTTTGATTTCCTCTCGTAGTAACACTGGCCCATAATGACCTTATCCCCCTTTCGTCTGCTTTAGTTTCAAAAATTTTATGAATGGCAAACCCTCACCTTTGCATGTGGTACAGTTTGTCGCTTCACCCATACATCCCTCGCACGTCAGGGAGCAAAAATGGCATCGTCCTGTTTTATTCACAAACATCTCATCCGCAAACGGACACTGTTTCACACAGCTATTATTGAACAAGTAGAAGCCATTTGTACAAGTAAGACATTGATCTTGCCTACCACCAAAACAACTTGAACAGTTGGCATAGCATGGTAAACACCTATAAGAAATCAAACAAGAAATATATCATGCATAGGAAGGCATTGTTCATGGTTCTGTAATGCTGAGAGAATGAAGGTTTAACACAGTTGTGTACAGTCCTGGACGGATGAAATCTTTTGGGTAACGAATATTACACTGGTACCCGACCAAAAATTTAGTTATTTCATCACTTACTTATTGTCTTTGCCATAAGTTCCAACCGGACAAACTAGTTTACATTTGTTGTCATGGAGATACGAATACCCGGAGCAAGCAGTACAGAAGGTAGGCGGGTCAATACACCTGTCACATGACGGATCACAGCATTTACACCGGCGACTATCGGTCTCTGCGTATGTACCCCTCGGACACTCGTCAGGTGTTACGCATTTACGTTGCCATAAAAACATCCCTTGATGACAAGCCGTACAACTTGAGGGGTGATCAGTGTCACATGCACTGCAATTGGATCCACATTTCACACATGTGTCCTCTGATATCCTATGGCTTGAACCTGGAAGAATGTAATATAAATATGTGATGTACATAACACTGTAGATTAGTTATTAATGGTCCATTGCAGGCTATTAAAGAGGGCTGAGATTGGAATGTTACGACGGATAAAAATTGTTTGGATATTTGATTAGAATAGATAATAAATTAGCATGAAAGGAATCTGTAAGAGAAGATCCGGAGGAAGACAAAGAATAAGAATGAGTGATGAAGAAAAAGGATAACGCGGAGTGCTAGAATTAAGAAGATCATCGAAGAGACTGGATGATGCAAGATTTGCATGGAAATGATACACAAGACGGCCCGACCCTTAAGTAATGGGAAATTGAAAGGTAATTTATGATATTAAATTTACAATCTTACCTGACGGACAGTTATCCAAACATAACCCTGTCCCATTGTCCTCTCTAACCAATCCATCTTTACAAGCCGTACAATCCGTATTCAACGGACCTTTACAATATTTACAAGAAGCGTCGCATGGTGCACACTGATGATTATTACCATAAAAACCAGAGGGACACGTTATCACACACATTCCTCTGTGTAGGTAGAGGTCTTGTTTTACCCCCTCGCGTGTGGCGGTGGTGGCCCCACATTCAGTACACGACCAGGCAGTACCGTTGTTACATGTCAAGCATGAAGGATGACAAGCCCAGCAGAGATCGTTGGATACATAATTATTGTCTTTGCAATCAATGACACACCTGGAAAAACGAGAATAAAGATAAGAGCAATGCCTTACATTTTCCTGTAACTATCTGTACTAATTATTACCGTATCTTACCCCACCTTATCTTACCTTCGTAAAAACCTACCCACGTGAACCTACAGTACCTACTGTATCGAACCATGGGACCATTGTATCATGGGACCAAAGTATCGGACTATGGGACCATTGGTCGCAGAAAATTTCTTGAGTTCCCAGAAAATATTTCCAAGAAAGAAAAAAAGATAATTGTAGAAATTTAGACATAGGTAGAAATTCAGGGGAAAAATTCTACCCAACAGAAAGAATGTTACCTGTACTGTATATATGACCTCAGAAATTCAATTAGAAGCACATCCATCTTAATAGTGCAATAGTGAATAAATGTACAGACTATAGAATGATGTAACCAATGTGGTATGGCAAATACATTTTTAGCCAATCTGAGAAACCTAATTTTCAAAATATTCGGGGGCACCATGCCCCCAGATCCCCCTAGTGGTGCCCATTTTTGGCATCTGTAAATTTACCTTAGGATCAGTCCCCCTGACGTATGATGTTATCTAAATTAGTTTTATGTTATATACCTTAAAATATAGCATGACATTAAGTTTGACAACTTGTTAGTGTTACACAGTTACAGCGTTCGAGTGTTGATTTACTTGATTATTCGCAGAAAATTTTTCAATGTTCTTTTGCGGTCCTAGAATGTAAAATTTTTTTCCACCCCTGCACATGACCCACCTGTTCATTTCCAGCTTATGGTCCTCTTTACAAGCCGTACAGAAGATAGCCTTGTCACTACAGGTTAAACATGTTGGATCACATCTCTCGCAACGTCTATCCTCAGTGGCAAACCATCCATCCGTGCAGCTCGTAACACAATTCCCACCCTTGAGTAGTTTTGGTGCTTCGCAAGATGTACATTGGTTAAATGCTGGCCCATCGCATTTCTGACAAACACTGGCACACGGTTTGCATTCCTTCGTCACGTCATCTGCGTATTCATTGCCTTGGCATTTGCTTAAACAAACCTTTAAAGATGATTTACAATTTATTAAACGAAGCTAAATAATTACGGCAGGGTGGGTGGGTGACCACTACAGCCGTAAGAAATCAAAGAATGTAGTTGAGGTTATGCATACACAGCTAAATTATAAAAGGTTGTCCTTTGCAAACCTTAAACTCTAGGCGTGCAAACCATAATGGGAGCATCATCTAATGAGTTTAGAAAGGAGGAGGAGGAGGAGCAGCAGGAGGAGGAGGAGGAGCAGCAGGAGGAGGAGGAGCAGCAGGAGGAGCAGGAGGAGGAGGAGCAGGAGGAGGAGCAGCAGGAGGAGGAGGAGG